TTAAGCTGCGGCTCAAATAAGGTTGGTTCCACTTAAAATTGCATTAAATTTTTCAAGATTTAAGCCGGCGCTGAATTGAAACCGGTTTTTCGGGGATTTGAGACGCGGCTCAAATTCATTAAATTCGGACACTGGGCAACGTTCCGGTAACTAACGGCATTCTCCGTTAATTTTGAAATTAATAAGATAGAATTTGTGAACGAACGGTAAGTTGAAAAAAGAAGGGAAAATACCGTAAACTAAACGAAACGCTCAGTTCTTAGCTAAGAACGAACGGGTTGAAATAAGTTTGAACGTACTCACACATAATTAAGAAATACCAGAATGCTAATTTAAAAGAAAAACCCGATATTTATTTTCATGAATATAACAACTTTTAAACTTATTTAATTTAAAATTTATAGATTTGCATGTCCAATTTACAACTGTACCCTTAGTCCGTACTTCGGACAAAAAGTATTGAAGTTTAAAGGGTACCGTTGGGAATCGGGCCATCTAAAATTACTTTCACAGTACAGTACAGTACAGTACAGTACGTACAGTCCCAGTACAGTACTTATCCAAAAAAAACGGCATCTTTTCATTAAAAAATAACCCATGCAAGAGTGACATAAATATGTGGGCAATACCTATTTGCTATATATATAGAAAGCTCTTCGTTTTTCTGGGACTTTTCAGGTTTTTAGACTTTTATAAGTTCTCAACATAGGGTTTCATTCAGATTAGGTTCCAACAACATGTACTATTTTATTAAACAACATTTGATCCCAAGAAAATATACCAGAAAAATGCGAACAAATTATATTAATCGTAGAACCTCTAAGATTTTGTGAATCCTTTTTAAACCCAAAAATGTTAAAGAACGAAACAAGTTTCTGTCCATCCCTTGTGTAAATTCTAAATATATATATACATAACTGGATGAATGCCAGTATTTTAAACAAAAATTGTTTATTTAAATTACATCATCAACATATAAGGGTCAAATGAAGCCTGCTTCAAAATATGTTTTTGTACAGTGAAACCCTTAATAACGAATACATCGAAAGAATTCATCAAATGTCACATTCTCCACTTTCTTATAATGGAATGTTGCAAATATTTAGTTTTTTTAATTAAATGATTATATGGAACTCTTTAAAACTGTTCCTGCTTATTCATGGCTATCTATTTATTTTCGCAAATACTGAAATTTACGTAATATAGTATAAAACTCATTGAAAAATTGTCAAGACGACATTTGATAAATTCTTCCGATGTATTCGTTATTAAGGGTTTCACTGTATGAATTTAAGCACGTTGAAGAGCTTTTGAGTAGAATAAAAATGTTTTGAATTCATAATGTGTTACAATTTGACTTTTCTTACACTTGTGTAGTTTGCAGTGACAATATCTATCACCTGGCTTAGGAACCCAGCTGTGACTGGAAACAAAGTTTTCCCTCAAAGTCTACCTTTAGAACCTATATATACTCAACTCTGAACTTTTAAGCCAAACTAAAACGTTCCCGTAGTTCTACCGAGTTCCCCATGCAAAATGTGAGTCAAATCGATCCTAATGTTTCTTCCTAAATTATATTCGCACATACAAGCAGACAAACATATAAGATCATTTATAACTACACTGTGAACCAAATTGCAGTGGAACTCTATTCGTCTTATATTTTGAATCATTTGAGGTCGCTATGCATATAGGTTCAATTTGCATTTCAACTATTTTTAGAAAACTGTCTTTAGAGATTTATCAGTTGCAACATGTAAAAAGAAGAACAAACACGAAGTTAATTTTACAGTTTTTTGGTTCTCGCTGTATCTAATTTTAATAATCACCTTTGTAAAGAACATTCATTTATCTGCAATTTATAATTTATTTATTTATCTACAATTTATATTTATTCATTTATCTGCAATTCATATTTATTCATTTATCTACAATTTATATTTATTCATTTATCTACAATTTATATTAATTCATTTATCTGCAATTTTTATTTATTCATTTATCTGCAATTTATAATTTATTCATTTATCTGCAATTTATATTTATTCATTTATCTGCAATTTATAATTTATTCATTTATCTGTAATTTATAATTTATTCATTCATCTGCAATTTATATTTTTTCATTTATCTGCTATTTATAGTTTATTCATTTATCTGAAATTTATATTTATTCATTTATCTACAATTTATATTTATTCATTTATCTGCAATTTATATTTATTCATTTATCTGCAATTTATATTTATTCATTTATCTGCAATTTATAATTTATTCATTTATCTCCAATTTATATTTATTAATTTATCTACAATTTAAAGGGTATTAAAAAAACACTTCACACTTCTTTCTCTCAGAGGTTTAATTTTTACCCGATCATAATGAAATTAATATCAGTTTAACCTCCAAGAGACTAAGAGCATTAATTAAAAGCAGGGTTGACCAAATCCAACACTGATTTTACAACGTAGCCCTAACATCTTAGAGAAATTCTGATATTAATTTCATTATGATCGGGGCAAAATTAAGCTTCGGAGGAAAAAAAAAGTGGGAAGTGTATTTTTTTCTTTAACTCCTTTTATTTTTATTCATTTTTCTGTAATTCATTTATTTGCAACTTATATTTATTCTTTCATCTGCAATTTATAAATGTTTAATGAATTCGTAAGAATAGTTGGGCGTGCCGAAGAAAGAACGATGCTTTGTCAGCGTTCTTTAGTATTTTAATACTTAAAGGGAGTGACCGGCAATGTATGGTAGTTGAACTGAGATAGCAGTATTATTGAGAAATTTTTAGGATTCATCAGACGATTTTACGGTGCATATTTGTTCTGCAAGAGTGCAAATGCAATCTTTAAAACCCTCATTGATTGTCCATTTTCATCGGGATGATTTTAAGATTCGGAATTATTTAGATTATTCAATGACGACCACAAAAAATGTAACAAAAATTCTAAAGTAAACTAATTAGTTGTTTAGGAACATGTTAATAGAATGAAGAATTTGAAGAAATCTGTTAACAAATTCATAAAGAGTAAGAAAATCAGTATAACACTAAAAAAGAAACAATAATTCAAACATTGATTTATTGACAAAGTTCGAATGAAAAATATGTACCTAAACATCTAATTAGTTTACTGCAGATATTTTGTTACATTTGTCTTCGTCGTTTTTGAATAATTTTTATAAAGCCAATTCTCAAAATCATCCCTCAATAAGAAATTTAAATATTGAATTTGCGCTCTTGCTAAACAAATATGCACCGTAAAAACGTCTGATAGATCTCAAATGAATCCTAAAAAATGTTCAATAATACTGCAATTTCTGTTCAACTACCATATATTGCCGATCCCTCCCTTTAAGGTTACTAAATGATTAATTATATGTGTCTGCAAACAACCAACCAGTAAATCAATTTAATTCAAAAGTTAACCAACAAACCAGCAGAACCAACCAACCAACCAACCAACCAACCAACCAACCAACCAACCAACCAATATCCTTGAATTGCTGATCGTAAAAGATCAACAAAACTCGCCCACTGTTACAATAATAATAGTTTGTTTTTATTTCTTAACAAATATTTACCATATTTCAGATCAAAATGGAGGAAAATGATGTCGAATTCTACCTCAACGCCGTAGTTTTAGTAATCATCAGTTGTTTTGGTCTGATAGGTTAGTAATCAACAGCTGATTTGGTCTGATAGTTCAGTAATCATCAGCTGATTTGGTCTGATAGGTCAAATATTTCTTAGATTTAGTAATCCTCAGCTGATTTGGTCTGATAGGTTAGGTATTTCGTGGATTTAGTAATCATCAGCTCATTTGGTCTGATAGGTCAGATATTTCTTAGCTTTATTTCGCTAGGTTTTGAGAACCAAATATCTTTCTATTTTTATAAATACATTAATTTCTTTTAAGAACTTCTTCTTCGTATCGATACTTCGTCCTACGGAGCTAGTTTAGTAGTTAGTTTTTGCTTTCGGGAAGGGGAGGGAGGGAGAGTGGGGGGGGGGATCGATTTAACCACATTTAAGTATTACTTTTCCACGTTTAGACTGAAGGGTAAACAAGATAATACCTCAACCTGTATCAGAAATTAAAAACATTTAAGTAATATTCCTTAATATACTGAGGTTTAAAGGGACTGTACTTAATATACTGAGGTTTAAAAGGACTGTACTTTCAATTAACCCTCCATGCAAAGATGGCAATACCCTGATTTACAATTTTAAACCTTTGACTGATCATCGATCTCTCAAAAAGTGTAAATTTTTAAATATAATTTTTGTATACTAGGCTTTCAGGGCGCTTCGCGCCTATCTTCTATTTCAATCGTGAACATTTTCTGTTTTTATACATTAAAACAAAAACAAAAATGTTTGCAGATTTTATAAAAAAATATAGTGGATCTAAAAAATTTAATGAAAATTAAATTTATTGTTGGAGGGTCATGTGAGGCCCCATATAAAATTTGATCCGATCGGTTCGGCCGTTTTTACGTTTATTCGATAAAAACAAACAAACAACATCCTTAATAAGTAAAAGGTTTAAAGGATAATGTTGTGACTCTCTCACTCAATACTGCAAATGAATGGTCGATCACTTCAAATTACCGCCAACAGTTCCTATACATTTCAAAAGTAGCACTGATTTTTCTCTCAATTCAAAACATAAAATAAAACATTTAATTTTTGGGGTTTCTTTTCAGAACATCAATATTGATAATNCCGCCCCGGCTACTTTCCTGTGTACGCGCCTGACTGGAGTAAATTTTGTTGTCTAAATATATCAACATGGATATCAAAATATCATTCTAGAAACACTTTAATCTAAAATATAAATCGTAATAAATTAAAAAAAAAAAAAATTTATGAGACAATTAATGAACGAGTTTTGAGACATTCCGATGACATAAGTTCACCCTTATAGTTACAGAATTTCCCAATTATCATTATTATTAAATTTTATAATCTAATTGATTGATTGTTTGATTAGTGAACCTGCTGAGATGGTTAGCTGTATTAGGAAAATCAATATTAAAAAACCAGTATTTCATGGCGCTCTCCGCCACTTTTATTTGTAAAACTCTTTAGTTTTTGTTCTTTCTTTTACATGCGAAATATTTATATTTAGCAGATTTTTCTGTTTTCCATTCGAGTATTTTCATATTTATATTTTTTTAAGCGTTTTATTTAAGAAAGAGAACAAAATTCAACCTTTAGATCTTTATAGTTGTTGAGTTTACAGTCGTCATTTTCTTTGTGGGTAACCCTAAAGAAATCGAGTCTTTACCACAACCTCAAATGTTCTAATCCCTATATCTTTGCAACCTGATGGCACAAACTTACACTATTTGATCTAACAGATTTATAGTTTGAAATATGTAAGGTCTACGACATTGGGTTGCAAAGATATAGGAATTGGAAAAATAGAATCTGTGGCAAAGGCACAATTCCTTTAGAACATTTTTTATTTTCACTGGTAATCTGGACTTGACATGAATTTCAAACTGTCGATTCCTTGTTTTCAAGCTAATCAAATAAAATTCATCACTGCAGCGTAACCATCTAATCTTTTTTAACAATTTTTTGCATAAAACATTCCAATTTTTAATCCAGAATCCAAATTTTAAAATATGAATGAATTCAAATTTAAATAATATAAGAGGGAACAACAAAGAAAAATTGAGCCGTCATTGAAATATGAAAATTATTTTCTTATTTTTAAGAATATTTTTGAACATATTTTCTAAGTTCAAAGATTCGCAAAACTAAGTCAGGGAGGGGGGGGATCGATTTAACCACATTTAAGTATTACTTTTCCACGTTTAGACTGAAGGGTAAACAAGATAATACCTCAACCTGTATCAGAAATTAAAAACATTTAAGTAATATTCCTTAATATACTGAGGTTTAAAGGGACTGTACTTAATATACTGAGGTTTAAAAGGACTGTACTTTCAATTAACCCTCCATGCAAAGATGGCAATACCCTGATTTACAATTTTAAACCTTTGACTGATCATCGATCTCTCAAAAAGTGTAAATTTTTAAATATAATTTTTGTATACTAGGCTTTCAGGGCGCTTCGCGCCTATCTTCTATTTCAATCGTGAACATTTTCTGTTTTTATACATTAAAACAAAAACAAAAATGTTTGCAGATTTTATAAAAAAATATAGTGGATCTAAAAAATTTAATGAAAATTAAATTTATTGTTGGAGGGTCATGTGAGGCCCCATATAAAATTTGATCCGATCGGTTCGGCCGTTTTTACGTTTATTCGATAAAAACAAACAAACAACATCCTTAATAAGTAAAAGGTTTAAAGGATAATGTTGTGACTCTCTCACTCAATACTGCAAATGAATGGTCGATCACTTCAAATTACCGCCAACAGTTCCTATACATTTCAAAAGTAGCACTGATTTTTCTCTCAATTCAAAACATAAAATAAAACATTTAATTTTTGGGGTTTCTTTTCAGAACATCAATATTGATAATGTTATTGAATTTTTCCAAAATTTATTTTAACCGATTCTTTTAAAAAAACATTACCCTTTGGAATTTGCGAATGTATTCGTTTTGAAATATTTACGTGACCTATTCTAAAATTTATCATTTATAAATATTAATAGAATAAATCAGTTTGTTTTGTTGCAAAAACACCATGTTTATTTAAAAAAGAAAGAATCGATGATGTTGACTTTAGTGACTTTCTAGTTTCAGGCAAAAGGTGGGTTATATCATATGTTTTTTACTTCTTGAATTAGGTTAATGTCTTTAAAAGGTCTGTAAGGGTAATTTCAAGTGACCCTTCATTATAAATTGTCATATCATTGAAACCTTTATCTCAATAATGTTGAAGATAACGTCGTTTTTCTAGTTTAAAGGTGTTTAATTCTGATTATTCTAACATGTTCTCATCCGGCAGAATTACGCAAGTCACGTGTGTAGACTGTAGAGGAAGCTAAAATAAATATAAGTTTTCAAAACAATAAACTATTTCATACTTGATCAGACAAAGCTTTTAAGCGTATCGATTTGAATCGGGCATTTTCATCTTTGCAATCCGGGTAGAGTCTCCCCCCCCCCATGCTAGAGTAGGGTTAATAATGATATTTTTTTTTAGGAAATTCTCTCTGCTTTCTTGTTCTTTCAAACCCGTTAATAGAACTAAACACAACGCTAGGCAATCCAAAAATCATTTTTTAATTATTTTTTTTAATGATTTAGAAAATTATGATTGAGAGTAAACTATTCTTATTTTTTTCATAAAAAAAAGGCTCAAATTCTTCTTTTTAAAGTTTTTCTTCTAACCTTTAAAACCTTTTTGTTATTTACGCTTTTGTGTAGATTAATTCACAGTCAGTAGCGTACATGGGGGTATTATGAAAGTAGTAGGGTTTCCATCGAAATTTTCGTTGAACGAAATTCGCGAAAATAAACGAACGAATTCGTTCATTTTCGTTCTAAATTTTTGCGAATTACGATGCATTTTTGACGAAACTTTCGACCTAACTTTCGCGAAATTTTCGTTCAAATTCAAGCGATACAAATCGAAATTTTCGTTCAGATTTTCGTTGGCTGAACGAAAGTTTCCCCATAGAGATTGAACGAAAAAGTAGTTGCTAACAAATTCCACACTTTCTGCGCAGAATTGCGCGCTTGCTTACAAAAAAAAAATCCTTTTTCCAGCGAAACTGCGGTATTCTGCGTAGATAGTTGCGGAATTGCGCGAAATTCCACAGAGATTTACTGTGGGTGGAAACCTATGCAATTGTTTTTGTTCATTTGATGAATTTACGTAATTAAGACAAGCTGACTACTGCAAAGTTGGAAACGTCTGAAAATAATCTTTTTTTAGCTTAGTCAGTAGTAGTCACACAAATTATATCATTGTTCAATTTTTTCCTCATCAAAACTACTTAAAAATATATTTTGATTTAATTTGAGGATTTATACTTTTAAATGAAATTTTCCCATGATTTTTGCAGTATAAACACTGCGTGACGAAACCGTTTCTAAAAGTCCGTCCCCCCTCCCACCCCCCTTGACTTTATTAATGTGACAAACCCAATTGAGTTTATATAAACATGAATATCTAATTAAAAAAGAAATATTTCTACATATATCTAGTAGATTTAATAACAACAAAAAACATTGAAAACCCTCATATGTCTAATCCTAGAAAATAACAGACTTTAAAAAAGGTTCTTTTTAAACTTTTTTTGTAAATATTGATTGATAATTGTAGACTCTGTGTTTCTGATAATGTGTGTGACCAACTTCTCTATTCGTCATATGTCCCACACATTCGAGGTTAAACATTTGTTCTTGTAAATATTAAAATAAGTGTTTACAACACTAAAAGAAGATTCTAATTACTATCCAGTTTTCACGTCTAGATTCTGTCTGTATCTATTCTATAATATAACTTCCTCCAGCTAAGTGAAAATCAGTCTAGTACTTCAAATGAACCGGATTTTTCAGTAATCTGTCTACATGCCTATTTGTCTATCTGTCTATCTGTCTTTCTGTCTATCTGTCTATCTATCTATATGTCTATCTATCTATCTATCTGTCTATCTGTCTATCTGTCTATCATTCTATCTGTCTATCTGTCTATCTGTCTATTTGTCTGTCTATCTGTCTATCTGTCTATCTGTCTATCTGTCTATCTGTCTATCTGTCTATATGTCTATCTATCTATCTGTCTATCTGTCTATCTGTCTATCATTCTATCTGTCTATCTGTCTATCTGCCTATCTGTCTATTTGTCTATATGTCTATTTGTCTATCTGTCTATCTGACTATCTGTCTATCTGTCTATCTGTCTTTCTGACTATCTGTCTATCCGTCTATCTGTCTATTTGTCTATCTGTCTATCTGTCTATCTGTCTATCTGTCTATCTGTCTATCTGTCTATCTGTATATCTGTATATCTGTATATCTGTCTATCTGTCTATCTGTCTATCTGTCTATATGTATTTCTGTCTATCTGCCCATCTGTCCATCTGTCCATCTGTCTATCTGTCTATCTGTCTATCTGTCTATCTGTCTATCTGTCTATCTTTCCTATCAAAACAGGAAACAATTACTCTCTCGCAGTAAACAGTACGGAGTTACTCTATCAACTAACTTATATTTCTTCAGTAGATTAGAATTGGGTCTTTAACAGCGTAATTACAAGTTATGCGCTGTTAAATATCACGTAGTTAAGCAATCACAATATGGATATGGCGAAGTTATATATATATATCTACGTACATTTAATGGGTTAATCGCAATACATGGCTATATGGACAATATACAACGAAATTTACTTTGGGCCTCTATTTTTGCTACATGTCTATGCCATATTTTTAATTTCCCCATACCTGTCCATAAGTCATTTAAGATATATATTCTGTCACATAATCGTCTTTCTGTCTATTTTTCGGATTGTCTTTTTCTCTTTGTCCATCTGTTGAATTACTTGTTTGTATGCCTGTCTATCTGTCTATTCTTCTAACCATCTGTCTATTTTTCGTACCATCTATCCGTTTTCTATCTTTCTGTTATAATTATGTTTTTCAGAGTACAATTTATATTCATCTTGCACCCTTCTCCTTTCCTCTCCTTTACATATTCTATACAGGTATTCATTCTTATATATTTATCCTTTTATTTTCATTAATTTAAATTCATTTAAATTCATTTGTTTATAATCATTTAAATTGATACTTTTATATTTATTTTATTTAATCCTTTTATATTCATATATATTCATCCTTTTACATTCATTCTTATTTATCCTTCTACATTCATTCATATTCATCCGTTATATTCATCCTTTTATATTCATCCTTTTATATTAATCCTTTTATATTCATCCTTTTATATTCATCCTTTTATATTAATCCTTTTATATTAATCCTTTTATATATTCATCCTTTTATATTCATCCTTTTATATTCATCCTTTTATATTCATCCTTTTATATTAATCCTTTTATATTTATCCTTTTATATTTATCCTTTTATATTGATCCTTTTATATTCATCCTTTTATATTCATCATTTTATATTCATCCTTGCATGTTCATTTATATTCGTTCTTTTGCATTCATTTATATTCATCCTTTATATTCTTCTTTTATAATCATCCCTTATATTCATTCTTTTATAATCATCCTTTTAAAATTCATCCTTTTATATTCATCCTTTTAAAATTCATCCTTTTATATTCATCCTTTTATATTCATCCTTTTATATTCATCCTTTTATAATTCATCCTTTTATATTCATCCTTTTGATCATCACTTTGTAGTTAATCACCTACTCCATAAACAAGTTCTCGAAACGTGTCAATCCTGGTAACCTGTCTGCTATCAAAGTCAACCAGGGCACGATCCACACGGTTATGATCCCGCCTACTATCAACACCACTAGCAATGGGCGCGATCTCGATAGCATACAAACCAAGCTATTAATCCAGGCTCTAAATGCCACACAGGGGATACAAGCCTAGCTATCAAACAAGCTATATATCGATCCTAAATGATTCTCTACCTGTTTATCAAAACAAGGACAATTACTCTCTCGCAGTAAACAGTACAGAGTTACTCTATAAGCTGACTTTATTTAAATATCTTGCCACGCCCACAAGTTAACGTTTATTGACGTAATTACAAGTTCTACGCCGTTATCCATATATTTACCGCACAGTTAAAGTTTAATGTACATCTTTATAAGATAAATAGGAATAGATATAACGTAGATAAGCTATCTCTACCCATGTTTATAGCATAATTTAAGTATATATCACACGATTTAATCTGATCATGCTACATATTCAATTGAAATGCAGTTTCAATGAATAATGTCATTATGTGTAAGTCTACGACATAAATTGTTAATAATGCACAACGTACTCCAGGCTTACAGGATATCATGTTTACACGATTTTTGCTACACCTTTATATAAATTCTTTTAAATCCTTTTATATTCATCCTTTTATGTTCATTCTTTTATATTCATCCTTTTATATTCATCCTTTTATATTCATCCTTTTATATTCATCCTTTTATATTCATCCTTTTCTATTCATTCTTTTCATAAAAACCATATGACCGTTACAGTCGGTTATTTTCTTTTTGTACAGCAAGTATGTACTGTGTACTGGGTATCGCGATGGAACGATTTTTGTCAATCGCTAAGAACAAATGCACGAATCAGGTTATTATCATTATTAGTATTGTTATTATTATTATTATTAGTAGTAGTAGTAGATATCCTATTATTATTCTTATCATGATTATTATTATTCTTATTATTATTTTTATCATTATCATTATTTAACGTTCCCTTAATTTTTATAATTATTATGAATATTATTATCAACATAAACAAGAGAGGGTTCGTTATAAGTAAAGACTAAGAGTATTAGGTCGTCATTATAGGCTTGAGTTTTGAGAATTGCCAATGGCGAAAGTTGAATCCTTATCTTTGAAAAAATAGTAGAAATGTCTATTGTTGTATTTATTTACAATTCAGAACAATACAATATGATGTAAATCAATCAGAAATGTTTACATTGTTAGATCTTTGACCAAGGGTTTCAACAAACGTAATTTGTCAATCTGAAAGGGAATTTCGAAGATATTTTAAGTGATCATTTCTTTATGGAGTTTCATGCACGATATAATTTACAGAGGTGTATATTTTTCAAAAAAACATTCCCCCCCCTTTTGAGTATCATTTTCCCCCAAGAAGTAAGGTATTTTTAGGGGAAAATAAACAAAAGTTCGGATAAAAAGTATGAAAAAGGATGATAAACTTTCCCTTTTATGTCCCCCCCATCTTCAAAAATTATTTCCCCGAGGGGGGGGGGGTGATTCTTAAAAATATATACTCCTGGATTTAAAACGTAACCCTTTACATTTTTGTATGAGAACAAACAATAGATATTTTTCAAATCTAAAATTTGATTATTTTCAATTTTAGTTAAAAAATTATACATTACTTGCGAAATTTAACAGTAATTTATCCAGAGGGAAAGGGCTTACATTATTTACGTTCCAGGGGGGAGGGGCTCCTTTGGTGTCTGAAACCCCCATGAAAACCAAAGATTTTACGGAAACAGAGGGGCACGAGCCCCATAGCCCCCCCTCCCCATGTGTACGCATCTAATCAGAGACAAATGTGAGAAGTTATCTATTTTCAAGCTAGAAAAACAACTATATCTCTCTCATAAATGTTTTAAAGGACATGTCTCTCCTTGAAATAACGTTGTATTGTCCCTTTAACAATATAAAAAAAATTTCTTTTCAGGGCGCCTTTTTTGGATACATTCTGCCTATTCTTGTATTCTGTAGTATTTACAATATTCCAAGATTTTTCGAGCTTCGACTTGTGGAGGAGAACGGGTAATGGTTATAATAAATCTTTAACAGTTTGAAAACTTGATCATCCCATACTTGCTCAATACATTAGTTGTAGTTTTTCTCTCGTAGTTATTTAGTACGTGTTTTTTTAAGTTGTGGAATTCCTATACTGTAAACTATACTGCAAACTATACTGTAAACCATACTGTAAACTATACTGTAAACTATACTGTAAACTGTAAACTGTACTGTAAACTATACTGTAAACCATACTGTAAACCATACTGTAAACCATACTGTAAACTATACTGTAAACTATACTGTAAACTGTAAACTGTACTGTAAACTATACTGTAAACCATACTGTAAACCATACTGTAAACTATACTGTAAACTATACTGTAATGTAAACTGTGCTGTGAACTATACTGTAAACTATACTGTAAACTAAACTGTAAACTATAATGTAAACCATACTCTAAACTACACTGTAAACTATACTGAACCATACTGTAAACTATACTGTAAACTATACTGCAAACTGTAAACTGTGCTGTAAACTATAATGTAAACCATACTCTAAACTACACTGTAAACTATACTGTAAACTATACTGTAAACCATACTGTAAACTAAATTGTAAACTATAATGTAAACTGCAATGTAAAGTATACTGTAAACTATACTGTAATGTAAACTGTGCTGTGAACTATACTGTAAACTATACTGTAAACTAAACTGTAAACTATAATGTAAACTGCAATGTAAACTATACTGTAAACTATACTGTAATGTAAACTGTGCTGTGAACTATACTGTAAATGTAAACTATACTGTAAACCATATTTTAAACTATACTTTAAACTGTGAACTGCAATGTAAAGTGAACTACAAACAATACTGTAAACTATTTTGTAAACTACACTGTAAACTGTAAACTGTACTGCAAACTTTACTGTAAACTATACTGTAAACTATACTGCAAACTATACTATAAACTATACTGTAAACTATACTGTAAACTATTCTGTAAACTGTACTGTAAATTGTACACTGTACAGTGTATCCAGACTGGCCCCTACAAGTATGATGAGATCTGACCAGTACAGATGTTTCCTGATCTCAGCCAACCTTTTTCTCACAGGTCAGATAAATAAACTTGAGCCTCTAGTGGTAAAAAGTGCATTAAAATTTAAACAAAATTGAAACATTGTGTACTCCATCAGAGTGTCGTTTGCATAAACCGAACAGAGTGTCGCTTGCATAAATTTACTTAACTCAAAGTGTTTTTTTGCCTTTGGTCGTCATCGTAGTAACATCCATGGAACTATATAAAGGAACGCCGAACTCAAATATGCAAATTTTGTACTTTACTTTGTGGGAGGAATGTAAACAAACCCACTGCCCCCACAGAAGATGAAGGGAAAGGACTAATGCTCTGATGTAATATTACAGTCCAATATATACTCGCAAGTAACAAATATTCTTGCGTTTTATAATTATTATTCATGTCTACGATAGCTATAAATCTGATCATCCCCCCTCTCACATAGTTGATGTTTTGCCCCTGAATTCTCTGTTTTGATCTCCTCCCACTGCAGTACACAGATTTGACGCATCAGATATGGCGGTTCCTGGTCTGTATATTTCTTGGGGAACCCTGTATATTTCCTGAAAAACTCTAATATTCTATAATGTCCAACGCGGTTTTAAACTTTTATGTTATCAAGAATGTGGAAGATTTTGTGGTTGTTTAGTTTATAAAAAAGTGTCAAATTCTTACAACTTACTTCATTGTTTTTAGAGCAGAAATACGGAAATCACTTTAAAAAGGAAAGATCAATGTATGTATTCTTCATTCCTGATCAGACGAAGCTATAAAGGGTTCTGTTGCGAATGAGACCTGCCATTCTATAAATGAAGATTTACGTCTACAGTGCCTTTCATAACTTTTCCTATTTCTAGGGGTTGGCCCAATTCTATGTATGTGTGTTCTAAACTGTTTGGTTTCCAGAAGATTGAAGGGAAAAGGTTCCCAGGTCACATCCAGGTAATTATAGGAAACCTTGGTCACATCCAGGCAATCATAGGAAACCCTGGTCATATCCAGGTAATTATAGGAAACCTTGGTCACATCCAGGCAATTATAGGAAACCCTGGTCACATCCAGGTAATTATAGGAAACCCTGGTCACAGCCAGGTAATTATAGGAAACCCTGGTCATATCCAGGTAATTATAGGAAACCCTGGTCACAGCTAGGTAATTATAGGAAACCCTGGTCACAGCTAGGTAATTATAGGAAACCCTGGTCACAGCTAGGTAATTATAGGAAACCATGGTTGGTTACATCAAAGTAGTGACAGGATTCAAGAAAAAAATAAATAATAAATATATTCACGATATTGTTGAAGCCAAGTTACAAATGTGAAAGGGTCTTATTACACTTATACTTATAGCACTGAATGGTAACTATCCAGGGGGTAAAAAAATCGTAGTTTTTAGGGCACAATTACGCTTTTAATTATTAGTAGATTATTATTTTATTATTATTATTATCTATAACAAGACGTTCATATATATGTTGACTTATTCTTATTATTATTATTTTTTACTATTATTAATATTTTTACTCTTATTATTATTATTCTTATGATTATAATTATTATTATTTTCATTATTAGGGATAAATCTGCTAGTTTTCTTATCTCTGGTCTGGTTCTTGTAATGGTGATTTGTCATGCTCCCAGAAACCTTCTCAATATATACGAACTTATACTGGTTAGTTTTATAGAAAAAATATATATTTAAAATTTTCATAAAAATTTTTTCTCTTAAATTTTTAAAAAGTTTTTACGGAAACTTGAGACCATTTACATTTAAAAAGAAGAGACTTTTTTCAGAAACTTAAATTGCTTTTTCTTTCCAAGAGGGAGGGGGGAGGGGGACTGAGCGGCCTATTATAGACCCCCCTCATGTGTGCGCCTCTAACTGTATTTTTCCAAGAGGGATGGGGGAGGGGGGAGGGGTACTGAGCGGCCTATTATAAACCCCCTCATGTGTGCGCCTCTCACTGTATTTTTTTTTGTGTTTTAGAAAGTGTATCCCAAACTCTCTCCTCCTGCACGGTGGATGAGTGACGTAAATCATATCTTTCTTGTTCTGTCTTCCTCGTGTAATCTTCTAATCTTCCTTACTCAGGTATCTTCCTCTTGTAATCTTCTAATCTTCCTTACTCAGGTATCTTCCTCGTGTAATCTTCTAATCTTCCTTAATGAGGTATCTTCCTTATGTAATCTTCTAATCTTCCTTACTCAGGTATCTTCCTTATGTAATCTTCTAATCTTCCTTACTCAGGTATCTTCCTTATGTAATCTTCTAATCTTCCTTACTCAGGTATTTTCCTCTTGTAATCTTCTAATCTTCCTTACTCAGGTATCTTCCTCGTGTAATCTTCTAATCTTCCTTACTCAGGTATCTTCCTCGTGTAATCTTCTAATCTTCCTTACTCAGGTATCTTCCTATTGTAATCTTCTAATCTTCCTAACTCAGGTATCTTCCTCTTGTAATCTTCTAATCTTCCTTACTCAGGTATCTTCCTATTGTAATCTTCTAATCTTCCTAACTCAGGTATCTTCCTCGTGTATTCTTCTAATCTTCCTTACTCAGGTATCTTCCTCGTGTAATCTTCTGATCAAGATTGGGTTTTGGTCACAATTGTGAAGTAAAAATCTCTTAAAATCCCTGTAAAGTTGTTGTACTTGTACACATTTTAAAGTTTTTCGGAAGGGTAAGCAAAACGATTAAGTACTTTTTTAGATCAGAGGATCAAACATTCAATTAAAGATATTCTAAAAATATCTTTTTATGTTTTAAATATTTATTCTTGTAATAAAGCTTTAAGGGTTACATACATACTGTTCAAAATGGTGGCACCAATGCTTTACAACGCATTGATATAAATTTGATTTAGTTTGCAATCATTATTCTTTCGCATTTGTATAAAAGATAAGAAAAATATAACAAGTTTTCCTTTTTTGGAATTTATTCTTGAATACAAATGACTATTTTAGAAAACCTACTTTTGTACAGTGTGACTCATAAAACAGTGGACTTAGACGACGACACTATATCTTAAGTTATGATTTTTAATAGTTCAATGAAGAGAAAAGACAGTAGATACGTGTGCATGTACACAGACCCATTTCATTTTGATTTTTAAGCTAGCAGTAAACATCTTTGCTTAATTACAAATCAAATTCAAAGCCCCCCCCCCTGGACCAGTGAAATCTATGGATTTTAGGGGGTTTTCAAGCCCCAGCGGTTGCTGATCCCCCACTGGAAAGAAAAAAATGTAAGCCCCTCCCCTTGGACAAATTCCTGAGTACGCCCCTGATTGTCACTTTTCTAGTTTGACAAGTTTTTCTATAATAAGACCCGTGCGTTACTACTATTGAGAGACCCCCTGATTAAAAATAAATAATTTTTAAATGAATATCTCATTCATTCCTGACCATTTATGGGACCATTGAGAATCGGACATGCCACACTAAAATATAGGAATTACTTCTACACTCTCACTTTTATAGATATCTAAACAACAGAACCGCCTTTTCACGAACAAATTACCGACCAATGATTTACCAACGGGAGATTTAGTTCCTTGGCTGTCCATTGGGACAATAAAGTAAAAATTACAACCTGCTCAGCGAAATTCGGGCATTTCCATCTCAAAACTTCCCTGTAAAGTAATTGTAAATGTTAAAAACTAAATTAATTTTGTAGGATAATGTATTCCGTAGTCTGCTGCTTCATAAGCTTGGAATATATTTATATGACAGGTATACCACACAAAACCAAACCAAAACAAGCAAAATGGTATGCGTATAACAATAAAATGCAGACCATAACGGTATACGATTATACTAATACAATGCAGACCACTTTGTTATGCGTTTATATCAATACAACAGCAGTATGCGTTTGTATTAATACTATGCAGACTAAATTGGTATGCGTTTATATTAATACAATAGCGGTATGCGTTTGTATTAATACAATGCAGTCCACAGTGGTATGGGTTTATATCAATACAATGCATACCATTGTCAAATGCGTTTATGTTTATATCAATATTCTAAAAAATTCAAATTTTCGTTTAACTAAATTTGTAGGAGCACCGGCATCAAATTCATCTTAGCAGAATCCCTCGTCAAATTTTGTTGAATAATTCTGCTAAGGTGAATTTGATGCCGGTGCTCAATCAAATTTTGTTAGATGAAAATTTGAAATTTCTTAGAGTGAATACAATTCATACCGTTCAAAGTGAGATGCGTTTATATCAATACATTGAAGACGACTGTCTATTTCAGCTTTGGCTTTTTATTATAAGCTGTTATTCAATCGAGACAAATAAATATGTAAACAAAGTGAACATTTTTATTTAAAATTCGGTGATGGCGATGGACCAAACCTCTATAGAATTAATAAAGTAAATGTTAGTTCCAAATTTAAAAAAAAATATATTTTGGTCTGGGTTGACCCTCATCAATTCTTGAGATTGTTTGTGTCATGAAGATTAAATACAAACATTTTTATGAAGAGGAAAAGCTTATAATGATCTGATAACGTTAAATGTAAATAAAAAGAAAGGAACTGATATATTTGAGTATATTTAACATTATTATATTTATTTCATCAAAATAGAATTTAAAAAAATATTGTATTGATAATTAAATGCATACTGAAATTGTCTGAAAACTTTGAAATATTTTTTTAAGATGCTGATTATTTACAGTGAAACCCTTAATAACGAATACATCGAAAGAATTCATCAAATGTCGTATTCTTCACTTTCTGATAATGGAACGTTGCAGATATTTAGTTTTTTTTAATTAAATGATTATATGGAACTCTTTAAAACTGTTCCCGCATATTCATGGCTATTTATTTATTTTCGCAAATACTGAAATTTACGTAATATAGTATAAAACCCATTGAAAAATTGTCTAGACGACATTTGATAAATTCTTCCGATGTATTCGTTATTAAGGATTTCACTGTATTAAAAAAGTTATTTTGAAATCTAAAAATTTTATCCATCCAAGTGCGGAAAAAAATAAGAAAAATTGTTTACAATTTGATTATCAATTTAAATAACTATATAATAGAATTCATTTACATTATTTATGCTTACAATATTTACATTATTTATGCTTACAATATTTACATTTGTATGATAATGATTTTAGAGTTCCTGCAGTTGAAAACACAACGAAGGAACTCACCAAAATTGATCCAGGTATAAATCAATTTCTTACATTAATCGATCAATTAAAGGATTTGAGTTTTTGCCACAAACTCAAACTTTCTAATTTCTATATCTCTGCAACCGCTTAGTGTAAACCTTTGATATTTCAAACTTAGATTATTTGATCTCACAGAATAAATAATTTCAAATATCTAAGGTCTATGACCATGGGTTGCAAAGATGTATTTGAGTTTGTGGCAAAAACTCAGTTCCTATCCTCACTTAAAGATAATGTAAACTTATTTTCAATTGATCTACCACAATCCACATTACTGATCAGATTAAGGTTTTATTAGTACCCTTGTGAATCGGGTGTGTCCATCTTTGAATAAAGGTCTATTTCAAATTACAACGAAAGATCCTTCAACAAATATAAACGTTTTTACATTTTGAGGATAATCAACAAAATTCTTTTTGAACCCTTTTTTTCGGAAAGAATAGGAAGATGACTTTTAGACTCAAGTTAGGATTTTAAACAGTCCAAAGAACACTTTTTCAGTGTAAACAGACCCATCTTACTCAATAAGTGACTTAATGAGTTAAACTATTTGCTTGGTTACAATATCAAATACATTTTTATAATTATATTTCGTCCCAGTGTAGTGTGTAAAGTCGCAACTTATGGAAGCCCTTTGATATATTAAACTTGAACTTTTTGGTGTAGCAGAATGCAAAGTTTTAGATATCAAGGATATGCAACATCAGATAGCAAAGATATAAGGATTATAAAACTTGAAGCTCGAGTAATCATTTCCTTTATTTAAAACAATCATTTACTATGGCTTATGAAAAGTTACAAATTTTTCACCCATATTTTTATTTTTATATATTCATCAGTTTTATTGACTTACTTATTTATTTTATAAATAACTCTTTTTTTATAATAAATAAGAATAATTACATCTATTAATTTCGGCTTAATATTTGATTTAGGAAAGTATTTTTTTGTTCCAAGTTTATTTACAAATATTTACAGGGTTACCCGACAGGATGAGAGTAGAGAGTTGACTTAACGGAATTTCTTTAGACTTTATTCTTACGTTCCTGGTTCTCTGAAACTGTGAATTTGTTTCGTTTATTGCTTAATCATTAAGAATATCATTTAAAACTTTATTTTTAGATATTTATATATATATATATATTTTTACGACAAACCCTTCCTTTGGATTTTAAAAGATTTTAATCGAAATGTATTAACAAATTAACAATAACGTAAAGGGTACATAGACGTGATTTTAAGTGACCCACCATTGATAGAGTGGCATGTCTGATTGATAACGGCACATTTAAAAAAACCATTTCATCGTTTTTTTGTTATCACTGTATCATAATCATCTGCTTATTTTAGAGTGTGCCCTAGAAGCGGAACTAAAATCAAAACTCAATCTCCTGAAAATAAATTCCACAGCAGAATAAATATATTCCACAGCTGAATAAATATATTCCACAGCTGAATAAATAGATTCCACAGAAGAATGAATATATTCCACAGCAGAATGAATATATTCCACAGCAGAATAAATATATTCCACTGTAGAATAAATAGATTCCACAGTAGGATAAACATATTCCACAGAAGAATAAATATATTCTTCAGCAGAATAAATATATTCTTCAGCAGAATGAATATATTCCACAGCAGAATAAGCATATTCCTCAGAAAAATAAACATATTCCACAGCAGAATAAGCATATTCCACAGCAGAATAAACATCTTCCACAGCAGAATAAACATATTCCACAGCAAAACAAGCATATTTCACAACAGAATAAACATATTCCACCGCAGAATAAATATATTCCACTCCACAGCAGAATAAATATATTCCACAGCATTATAAACATATTCCACAGCAGAATGCACATATTCCACAGCAGAAAAAACATATTCCACAGCAGAATAAATATATTCCACAGAAAAATAAACGTGTTAAGAAACTTTAAATAGAAGATTCAGAAAAGATGGCATCAATTATCAATATTCTCTGATACAGATTCAAACAGCATTTTTATACCAGTTCGGATCCTGTACAAATTGGATTGCTGTAAACGCATTAAAGACAATGCACAAAAGTTACTAAAACAAGATTTCTACATTTTTAAGTATTTTTTTACTTTAATAGTCTGTATTGTCGTAAGAACTGTTTAACTCCAAACTTCTCTTATGAAGATATAGATTTTTTTATTATTTCAACTGTAAATACTTATTTTTGTTTAATATGTATATATAAAGCAGGGGTTTAAAATGATAAATTATGAAAATTCCACCCTCCGGCCTTTACTTAATTCATGTAACCCAATATTTAGTTTTTTTTCCCTCAAAATCCATTACTTTTCCAAATTGCATCAAATAAAAGCCTGAACATTTAAATAACAAAGTTGAAATCGGGGGGAAAACAGTTTTCAAGGGGGGGGGGTTAACACTTTTATTTACCTCTGCTTAATAATGTTTTAGTGTGTTCAATATTTATATTACCATTTAGCCAAAGTACAAGTCATAAGTCAATGCATTTCTCATTAATCAGGTGAATCAAAAGTATTTAAATTCAACTTTATGCTTGAAAAATTCTTTTGAATCATCGTATTTTATATATGATAATAGAATACAATAATTTTGTTCTATGTGCAGAAAATATTCATAATTTTTGCTCGAAGTTTGAAACTATTTTTTTTACAGTTTTTAAAGATGAAATCTTTATTCCAACATTTTGGAGCTCTCACATTTATTCCTATGGTTAAAAACTTATTTCTGTGTAATTTCCTATTTATTTTAAGAAAGCTACATGTGTTCATTAACACTGCATTTTCAATTAATGGTTTGGAAAAGTAACAAAATCTTGATTTATTCTATGAGTTTCTAAAATTAAGCTTGGACCAGATTCTTTTTCGTAAAAATCGTTCAAATTGATTTTTTAACACTTAAACTGAATAACAGAAATGGTGTGCCTATTGTAGGATTTACCATGCGAACATAGTTAAAGTTAATGTTTTGTAAACTGTAAAAAACTGTATTTTTATTTGAAAAAGTAATATTCCAATTTTCAAAGGATGATATTTTCAGTGTACTTTTTATTGAATCTCCCTGAAGTGTGTGCCATAAACAACTCACAAAGCATCAACGCCTTTTTATGTAAAAATTAAATATCAATCTGCAGTTAAAGGATACTCGTAATATGTTTATGTAAAATGAAAACCTGTCAAACTCTGAATGAAACTTAATATTTGTTCTAACTTTAATTTCTTTTAAAACCCCTTATTGTTTATACAATAAGTATACAATTTGGCGAAAATTCTAACTTTTTGTGATATCTAGCTATATTTTTACTTTTTTTATCGTTTACAAATTACATAAATGTGTGTAATATGTGTGTTTTATAACTGTAACAATGTTCTGTCCGGAATCTTGATCTCAAATATTCTAAAATATATGTTTCTCTATTTTCAGAAAATTATTAACAAATCAGATTTTCCATAATACGATATTTACTTCACATTTTCCTATCTTGTAGTTTCTTAAATATTGTTTCCTAATTAGTAGTTTCCTAACTAGTAGTTTCCTAACTAGTAGTTTCCTAACTAGAAGTTTCCTAAGTTGTAGTTTCCTAACTAGAAATTTCCAAACTAAAAATTTCCTAACTAGCTTCTTAATTACAGTGAAACCCTTAATAACGAAGACATCGGAAGAATTTATCAAATGTCGTCTTGACAAGTTTTATACTATATTACGTAAATTTCAGTATTTGCGAAAATAAATAAATAGCCATGAATATGCGGGAACAGTTTTAAAGAGTTCCATATAATCATTTAATTAAAAAACTAAATATCTGCAACATTCCATTATCAGAAAGTGAAGAATACGACATTTGATGAATTCTTTTGATGTATTCGTTATTAAGGGTTTCACTGTAGTATTTTTATAAATAGTAGTTTCCTAACAAGCAGTTTCTTAACTAGTAGATTCCTAACTAAAAGTTTCTTAACTAGTAGTTTCCGAACTAGAAGTTTCCTAACTATTAATTTCCTAACAAGTAGTTTCCTAACAAGTAGTTTCCTAACTAGTAGTTTCCTAACTAGTAATTTCCTAACAAGTAGTTTCTAAACTAGTAATTTCCTAACAAGTAGTTTCCAAACTAGTAAGTTCATAACTAGTAGTTTCTTTTCGTTTCTTTTCTCCTCTTCCTTCCCCCCTCCCTGTACCGGCTGTCAGAGAGGCTCAGCTTACAATACTAGGCAGTTTTTACTTTTTCCAAAACTTATCTTACCTTATCCATTTTTCGTTTCAACCTTTCTCGTTCTCCTGTCACTGTATCTTTTGAGAAACCAACTCTAGACCCAACAGAGGTTTTGTCTTTTTTAATTATTCTTTCTATTTTTGGATCTTTTTTTATCATTTCTTTGGAACTATGTTTTTTTCTTCTTTCTTTTCTTGGTTTCTTTTTTCTAGATATTTTTTTGTTTTGTATTAATTTTACCTATTATTTGTTTCCCCCTCTTTTTTGCTGGGTTTCGAAGTTTGTTCTTCTCATTGGGGGTTTGTGAGGGGTTTCTAACCGGATTTCCTGTCTATTTCTAGACTGACTGAGTTTTCCTTCTCATTTCTCAGGTTAACTAAGTTTTCCTTCTTAACCTTCTATTTTTGGTTAACTAAGTTTTCCTTCTTACCAATATGTTATACCATTTTGTATCTTTTCCTTATTACTCTAAATATTTCTTATTTACTGATCGCAATTTGAATTATAGCTTTCCTTAGATGTGTATTTCTCCTTATATCCTCAAATCTTTGTCTTTCATGCTCATTCTTGATACATATATGGCTTGTTTAACTTGTGGGAATTTTTTAATGAAATATTTATTTTCATGGGTTATATACAAAGAGAATAGAATATATATTAGAGGGGAATTTAGACAATCCCTCGGTGTGAATTTTGCCATTCCCTTTCAGCCTGAAAGGGAGTTCAAATCATGTAAATGTTCACAAATTATATGCAGTAGAGTACATTAATACAGTATGTTCCCTAGACTATCCATTTCAATTTCGAATCTTTTGAAGCTGTTAAATAAACTTTATGATGAATTAGGTGAATAAAAACATCATTTGATGTATAGTTATAACGGAAAATCATCGTTTGTTAAGTGGAAGGCATAGAGTCTATGTGAAATGATCAGTGGTTAATTATGAAACCAGCCTATTTCATAATTTGGTTTTCTTTTAATAATAATTTTAGATTTTCTATAAAATGATGTTCCAGGGCCCAAAAGGTTAAATAGCAAAAATATGTGAAGTACACCTGCAGTATGTAAACAGTACAACAAAATGGACGTTTTACACTTTTTTCGAGTAAATTCCCCTCTAATATATATTCTATTCTCTTTGGTTATATATTTACAGTTTAACCCAGAACTTTGGAGCCATCGAAAGGATTTTTAAAATCAATGTCGTTTAACCTACAGATAATAAAATAGCACAGCCACAGGTATTTAGTTGTTTTCATTAAACAATTTAATTAGTGAGATTTTGGTAAACTATCCTTGTTAAATGATTCTCACAATGAAAAATTGGCAAGACGACATTTTATAAATTCGTTTGATGATTCCAAAGTTCTGGGTCTAAACTGTATATGTTATTTTAATATTATATAACGAAATATAAGGGATCCCTGCAAATAAGCCATTAAAATACTTTATTCAAGAAAGAACCTTATTTAATCTGGAAATCGTAAAATTCAAAGAGGTTTAGGTCTTCTTTTATAGGCTCATTCTTTGTGGGTTACCCTGTACAATTATTTAAATGCAAACATTTACATAACATTTCAACGAAGACGACTTTGTATATATTCTGTGCGTGCCTAAATTGATGGGATACAGGGTGTCCCACGAAACATGACAGTTGGTTAATAGTTTAGAAATGTCTTTTTCCATAATTTGTTAAGTTGTTTGATACCAAAGATCAATAAAAATATTATATGGGAGTCATGTTATATTAAGATTATTTCAAAGTAAAAGATAATTAAGCAAAAGATTTTTTTGACTAAAAATAACGATTTATTAAATGTCATGTTTCGTGGGACACCTTGTACATAAAAGAATATGTAAATATTTTTTTTATTTTGATCTTTAAACTTCATTTAGTAAATGTATAGATTTATCGAGGATTCAAAACACTAAACGGTGGTAAAAATGAAAATATATGTCTGAAGATGTTCCAAATTTACATTTTAAGAAAAAATAGTTACATTTACATTACAATCATACATTTCGTCAGAAAAAGAAAGAAAGACGACATTACTAATTTCACTGTTTTCTGGCACTACATTCTGGTTTTTGGAATATAAACAGCATATGCACAATAAGGACAAATACAGTTATATTAACCAAAAACTGTGGAAAAATAGTTCAGAAATATTACCAGGAATTCAGTAATTTCCAAAGATAAATAACTAAACATAGATAGCTTATGTACGCAAAATCACCAAGAATTGTACAGTCCGCGAACTCATACTTCTAGGGGTCAAAGTGTACTTCAATGATAAGCGGGGTGGTTTGGTGTTTTAATGGATTTCATAATAGAGTGTAAAATAACTCCAGGAATGAAACTATTTGAACAACAATAATTCACTGAGCAATTTATCATATTGACGAGAACTGAAGAAGGACATGAGAAGGACCAAACTAACTTAAATTTCTCTCTACAGAACTCATGTACACCACAAGTACTCAATGACATAAGAACAGCCAATGTTCACAACCGACCTAGTTAATCTATATAATAGGAATATCTTTAAAACATCTCTGTACATTTATATCTTTCAAGGTGAAAAATGTCGTCTTATGCGCAATCTATCTTTATCTATGGTAATTTCTAATCCTTTGAACAAAGGCCGAAACTTAAAACATTTTAACCATGATTAAATCAGATTCTAACCATGGTAAACTGATCGAAGACGACAGATTTGTTTAACCATGGTTAACTTTAACCATGGGTAAAATCATTGTAATAGTTTGCGGCATCAGTGCAGCTCGGATTTTTAACCCTTGGTCTACCTAGGGTTAAAGTGGGTTAAAGTGGACGTGCTTTCTAGTTATAGACTAAAGTTTCTTGATGTCAACATGATCTTGGTACATAAATACGCAAAAGATTGGCGCTTCTTATCAAAATTATTGCATTTCTAATTGAAAACAATAAAATCATAGACAACTTTAATACTGCAAATGAAGAAAATAAGACGACATTTTTTTCTGATTACAGCTGTAGATATTACTTTGCTTTTAAACTGGTATTGAAGACAGTGTTTAAGTTAATCCTGCATTTCGAGGGTATCATGTCCGATCTCAAGTTAAAGGATTTCCGATTAACGACGGTACCTTTACAACTTTGTCTGATTAGTGAAGGCAGAGTTTTACTAACTGAAAATGGTGTGAAAACCATACAGTGAAACTGGAGTGTACGCTGTACACTGGGAATTCATCATTGCTGACCTTACCCAAGGTTATAATGCAAGGAAAGCTAATTGAAGTTGCGTATACTATGCATCAAATTGAAACCAGTTCTCTCTGGGCGAAATTTGTAAAAAAGAATACATGCATCAATGTTTGTTTAGTATCCGAGTAGGTTAAAAGCATTAAATTTTGATAATTTTGATATTTCACATAGTAGTTTCCTATCACCAGAATATTTCATTGATTTTTTATGTAAAAGATGGATCCCATGTCAGGCTTCGACATCTGTCTTGTGTTTACATTACCGCCCAGAGACAGTACACTGCAGTACAAAAGATGCTTTCAACTCTGAAATAGCTTTCCTTGCATTATAACCTTGACCCAACATATTTCTCGAAAATCCCAAATATATTCTTTGTCCAATGATACTAAAAATATGAAAATTTAAATATAAAAGTAAATAATACTATTTATTTATTATNTATATATTCCTTTTTACATGGTGTCCCAGTATATAAAAAGTGTCCCAGTATACACATAGTGTCCCAGTATACACATAGTGTTCCAGTAAACACATAGTGTCCCAGTATACACATAGTGTTTCAGTAAACATATAGTGTCCCAGTATACACATAGTGTCCCAGTACGTTCCATATACATGGTGTCCCTGTGAGAAAATTTGGGACGTACACATTGAACCCCTCCCCCTAACGTTAATTTGCTGAGGTTGTTTGTGTAAAGTGTATAATTACTAACTAGGCCATTATTAGATACGCTTAATAACTTTTGTTATTAATTTCTTAAAAGGACTGTAAGCGTAATTACAGGAGACCAAACCAAGACAGGAGTGCCCGATTTTCAACGGTACCCTTAAAACCTTTAAATGAACATTGAAGACAGAGAACTATGTGTGCTTTTCTCTAAAATGTTGTTCAAATTTCCGTAAAACTGGAGTGTACGCTAGCGCACTAGTGTGAACTTACATATATTCTATGAAAATCCCGAATAGTCAATGTCTTACGCGGTTATCAATATTTCGAATTTAAATATCTATTTCTGAGACTTCAAAAAAGTCCAAGGTTTGAAGGGTGCTGTTGTGAATTGGAAAAAGTTAATCTATACAAACGGAGGGCCAATTAAAATTACGCCTACAGTCTCTTTAATTATACACAATGAACACTTTTCACGCGCAGATTTGATAAAAATCACAAACTCCCTGGAAAGTTATTGCAAACCCCAGTGCAGCAAGTCCTATTAATAGTTTAATATAGTTCAATGGCCTAACAAGTGTTTATATTTAGTTTTAAAATATGTTATTGCTTTAATTATTCTGTTAATGGGGGAACAATCAAGGGAAAGAATTAATCAATATTTTAAAATTGTACAAAGGTTCAGACTTCAGAGACGACTGAACGGAATGTACACCGATGATTTCCAAATATTCATGATTCCTCAAAGTATAAACTTGTTTCTTTCTTTTTTAATTACTTACTTTGGAATCGTGATATTTGAAAAGTTTCAAGTCGTCTTTACAATCTTATCCATAAATGCATGGTACCTATATATTTATTGGATGGGAAAAGGATGGGAAGAAGATGGGAAAAGGACGGGAAGAGGATGGGAAGAGGATGGGAAGAGGATGGGAAGAAGATGGGAAGAGGATGGGAAGAAGATGGGGAAGAGGACGGGAAGAAGATGAGAAGAGGATGGAAAGAGGATAGGAAGAGGATGGGAAGAGGATGGGAAGAGAATGGGAAGAGGATGGGAAGAAGATGGGGAAGAGGATGGGAAGAGGATTGGAAGAGGATGGGAAGAGGATGGGAAGAGGATGAGAAGAGGATGGGAAGAGGATGGGAAGAAGGATGTGAGGAGTGGATGGAGGATAGGTTGGAATATGAAAGCCTGAAAAGAGGTTAGGAGGCTGAAATAAAAGCCTAGACTCTACGCAGTGAGTGTAAAATCTCGAAGTTGAGAAGGAAGGATCAGTTTAACCGTAGAGCTTACGGCAGGAACACTAGACACAATTGTTGATAACATTCCAAACGCAAAGTAATTGAAACCTGCATTTACAATGTAGGGGGACATCATTCAAAGAAGTAGATTAGTGACAAATAAAAATAAAAATGAGAAATAAACACATCAGGCAAGAGCTAGTTTTCCCACTGTGAAAATAGAAGACAAAAACACAGGTTATATTTTAGACGTTGATAATTAAAATCAGCTGCAGGAGTCTCAATTTTTGCAAAGAAAGGAATAAAGGCAATAATAATAGGTAGAGGGGGTGGGGCTGCCTCCCCTCACTTTATTACAAATACCTCTCCCCCCCCTCCCCCCTCCCCCCAGTTTACATATGTTATGTGACCCCCCCCCCATCCCCCTTTTCTACAAAAGCTGGTTCACTTGAAAGTAAGTCTTTAATAATATTTTTTTTAATAAGCATTCTTATATATTTTGGTTTTAACCAGATGGATGCATATTATACAACAAAGTGCAATTATGCAGAATAATGCAATGTAGTGCATACAATTGTGCATTGTAATGCATAATTTAAAAATTAACATTGAGAGAAATAGCATGCACTTAGCTAGTGCACCGCCTGCACGTAAAAAAGATAAATCTAAGAGATAAGTTTTAGTGCATTAGTGTCCGACTTAAATAAATTTAAGCCGCGTCTCAAATCACAAAAAAACCGGTTTTAATTGAGCGCCGGCTTAAATCTTGAAAAATGTAATACATTTTTAAGTGGAACCAACCATATTTGAGACGCGGTTTAAATTTAAGCCGCTGCTCAAATTCTTTAAATTCGGCCTCCGATGTGAAGATACGTATAGAAAGAAGAATAGCTAGAGATGAAATAATTACAAACATTTTGCATTTCAAAATTGTTCTAAAATGTTTTCGATACGACATGTTTTAGAGGTTTTGTTTCTATTTAAAGTCACATATTTTCAGTTTTGTGCACTTTGTTAGAAAAAAAACTACCAATGAAGCCAAAACATTAAAGATCTGTAAAATATGTTAAGGTTTGTGTCCAAAAATCCGCAAATAAATCATAAAATTTCGAATTCAAATATTTAAAGTACATCAAGTACACGTCCCATGAAACATGACAGTAGCAAGACGACTTGAACGTCGTCTTTGATTTTTGATATAATTTGATGCAATTATTTGTCAACTTAACTTTAGTAGTAAAATCATAGAGATAGTAACCACAAAACACCCATAGTTCAGACATTTCCAAAATGTAGTCTGCCTTTTTGTGCTTTTAATATTACCCGATATATGAAGAATTTCGTTCAGATTTCGACAATATTGGCAGCACGAAAAAGGCAGACCACATTTTGGAAATGCTGGGACTAGGAGAATTTTTGGTTATTGTTTCAGCACTACTACAATTCAAAGTTGGTTGACGACTGAATGTCACAAATAAATTCCAAGCTCAAAGACGACTTTCAAGTCTTCTTGCTGTTGTCATGTTTCTTGGGACCCATTTTTCAAGTGATTTGAAGGAATTATGATATTTGATACAAAAACAAAGAACCTGGGATATCAAATCATAGATAAGAAGAAATTAAATTACTTAAAATAAGGAAGAACAACAGGTGAGTTAACCAACTTAGGATTCTAGGAACAAGGTCAAAAATAGCTAGATTTAAAAACAGGAACAATAGTCAATACAATAACACAAATGTTGGGTTGGGTGAGTTAGGAACAAAAAAGGAAGAGCTACATTAGGACCATCAGAAGAGGAACAAAAGAACGATAAAATGGGAACAATAATAGGAACATTGACGTCTTATTAAACTAGCTTGGAACAAGCGAACAAAAACTAGGAGTTTTATACAAAATAAAAGATAAAGTGTATTATAAAGAGTTCTAAGTACCAAAGATGAGATTCTCTCCATATAGATGCAAACTCCTAAAATTTACAGAATTTGCGATTTAACAGATAAATTCAATATTTACAATTTTCACCCGGATCTATTATATCCAGATGTCGCGTTCCTGATTTTTAACGTTAAAGATTACCGACCGTTCTTTCCAACTAATCACTGTTCGTTTCACGTTTATTTTATAGATTTAAAAAAAGATTTTAAACTATCAAGAAATATCAAAAACGCAAATCTTAGAAACATAAATGATTTTTATATTTCTAGAATAAAATATATTATAATTGGACCGCTCCCCCCTCACAATTTCCCTAAAATATGGTATGAAAATAAACGACACTTTTCTAAGCTTTCAAATATCAATTTTACAGAGCGTCCCATAACATATTAGACTTTCTCCAATCTTTAACGCCTAATTACACATATAATACTCGAAAAATCTAGCATTTTCTGCAAGAAAAAATTTCTATTAGCCTTTTTAAATTTTTCAAAATGAATCATTCTTCTTAAATTTTATGATTTGTCCCCCAAATCGTAATTTAGACCCATTGACGCGGTCTAATTTGATGTGGGACACCCTATATTTCGAATTTTAAACAGAATTTAATAGAAGATTTTTATCAGCAGAACAAAGGTTTTAATTCTAACACATGCTATGTTTGCAAAAGAATTAAAGAAAGCAAAGACGATTTTACAAAGAAAAGAATAAAAAGATTAAAAAGAGTAAAAGATATAATCAAACATAAAGTGATGTCAAAAATCAGCGCGAATTAAAAAGATGCTTAAAAATGCCCGTTTTTCATAGAACCTATATCTCTTTCACACTTTTTTTACTTTTTTTTACATTACAAATAAATCTATAATTTTATTTCTAAAAGTTGTTAGTTTATCGTTGAAAAACACTAACAATCCACCACCAATTTATATTAAATATAGTGTAAACAATAAATATGTAACTCTCCTTATCCTTTTATTTCTATTTTTATATTTTCTTAGAATTGTGGGGAAATATTCCCACAACCTCTACTTTTAGAGGTTTTTAAATATTTTCTCCTGAAACACTTTATTTTGTATGTTTTTGTTATATTTCATAAATAAATAATTTGTTTACTTTACTTTTAGATCGTTCAAAAGATGCCAAGAACGTGTTTATGTGTTCGTTCTTTTTTCGGAACAATGGCATCGTTCTTGATAATTCTGATCGTTCTCGTGAAAGAACGAACGTTCCCCGAGAAGGAAGCCTAGCCCTAGAAATATATTTATTGAATTAGGACTGACAGAAAGACAAACAAAGTATGTAAATAGATATATTGATACCATAATATTATTATTGTCTGTATTCTGTATATAATAGATTGTTACCTCAAAATAATGATTTTGCAGATCATTCCTGGTTTATCTTTCAATAGTACGTTGTAAAATGATAAAATACAGGATACCATCAACCATAAACTATATATATAGCAGTATAAACCTTTCACAATTACCTGGAGTATCAGAGTATTGGCACCAACATATAAGAAGGAGACCAGATCCTGCCAGCTTTGTATAATGGAAAAAAACGTTGATAATCATAGAAAATAAAGAAATCTCTTTGAACAAAAGAACAGAAATTCTCAACAAATGCCGACACCGAGAAAGAGAGCTTCTTATGAATTGGTAGTTTTTTTTTAATTCAGATAACACTAATCCACCAACTCTTTCCTGAAAATACGCAAACAGAAAAAATACTGTAATATTCTGCAGTCGAGAACAGACCTCACTGAAGATTGGTCCATGACAATTGGTCCATGAAACATTGTGTATGAGGATGTTTATCTGTTTTTTTTATTGAATGATAAATTGAATATACATATAGGGACCCATTTTTCAAGTGATTTGAAGGAATTATGATATTTGATACAAAAACAAAGAACCTGGGATATCAAATCATAGATAAGAAGAAATTAAATTACTTAAAATAAGGAAGAACAACAGGTGAGTTAACCAACTTAGGATTCTAGGAACAAGGTCAAAAATAGCTAGATTTAAAAACAGGAACAATAGTCAATACAATAACACAAATGTTGGGTTGGGTGAGTTAGGAACAAAAAAGGAAGAGCTACATTAGGACCATCAGAAGAGGAACAAAAGAA